CAGGGATACAGATGTTTCTCACTTGCTCAGAAGCCATCCTACCAAACTACACCATCATTAAAAAAGCAGGAAGAAACACTGCGCCACAGAAAGAAGAGAGGGAAAACTCCAGCCAAGGAATACTCACAAAAGAATAAAAGGAATACATCAGCAGGATAAATATTAACAGGTGGCAGCAGATCAAAACCATTAGCAGGGCAAAGCTGACATAGTGAGGCCAGATGAAAGGCACCATAGGTCCATGCTGGGCATCCCTGATTTGAGTCTTATTGCGAGCAGAGCCTGACTGCACCAAAATATGCTTGACCCCAGTGTGGGCAGGGAGATGCTGACACTAAGCCACAAAGAGCCGCCCAGTGGAGATGAGGAAGAGGAGGACGCCACCAGCTTGGATTGCTTTTACTTTCTGGATATGCCAGTTGTGAAGATACAAACAGCGACTTCCCCTCTGCCTGCATAGGACCCTCTTAGTGCCAACCCTGAGAACAAGGATCAGGCACCATGCCCTGTCCCCAAGGAAGAATAAACCAAAGGGGCCAAGTGCCTTGTTCTGCCTAGGAAATTGCATTGCTTTAGTTCAGCTGACTCTGTTTGCTGGTCCCAGTAAACCCCATGCTCTGAAAACTTCAGTAGGCTCCTAACCCACAATTGTCCAGAAGCACATCATGCAGTCAGACCATCAGGATGCTCACCAGCCCTAAGTGGGGTCGAGTCAGCCTTTTAGGGACTCCAGAGACATGTGGTAGAAGCTTCAAGGAAATACTGTGAGTAGTAAGCGAAGCGATACTGCATCCAGGAGGGATAACACCGATTGATCCTCGCCTAGCAGCTTAACATGGTACAAATTGCTTTTTAATTGGAGTCAGAGAAACTGGCTTATCTAGAAAGTTCACAACCCATCTTTTAGAAAACTGAGCTGCCTCCTTTCTCCTCCTCTTCCCTGGTGAACAATCTTTTCCTCCTCAGCATCCCCCTGGAAAAGGCCAACAGCTTTCTGGAGCACAGGTCTCTCCAAACAACCAACACAGACACCGTCCATCACTGCTCCAGATGCCTTCTGGGGTCCTCATTCTTAAGCTAAAAAGCACTTCAGACACACCCTGCCTCCCAAGATGCAGACAGTCTCTGGCTGAACAGGAAGAAATCCCTATCCTATTCTTCAAACAGCTACAGAAAGGCCCTGTGTGCTTCCTCCCTGAGCAGCAAGGTGCTCCCCAGTTGCTTTGTGTTGCCAAAGTGTGTTAAATGGATTCTCGAGGCTGTAAGGAAAGAAAAGGCTGGGGCAAGCCTGGAAACCTCCTTGCTTTCCCCTCCCCAGGCACTCACGAGGTGGTTGTGTTTGGGTTGCAGCCCAATGGACCCAGACTTCATCAGATAGGAAATAAGGCTGCGGGAGGTACAGCTGCACAGGGACCATCACTGAACCTCAGACAACCCAGCCACCCACCCCTCTCGTGTGCTGGGCATCACTGTGCCTGTGCGAGGATTGCAGAACTCCACTCACTCTTCAGAGTAAGCAGCACAAGGATACACAAGGTATTTTTGTGCATCAGTCGTTCTTGGAGGATCACTCAGCTCCATCACTCACATCCCACTCCTTGAACATCCCTTCTTTTTGGGTATACGATGTCTCTCTCTTTGTCAGCCAGTTTTCTCTCTTTCTCCTGGCCATATCTCCTCTCTCCTACTTCCGCAAGCAAGACAAGCTCCAGGTTCAAAACTGAGTGAGGCCTCTCCACACACCAGCTCTGTAGGAAGCCCCAGCAAAGAGAATTTGAGAGCTATAAATAGATGCCCCTAATCACAGCCCCTGCAGGGCTGGGCAGAGGATCTGTGCAATTGCAGAGCTCCAGATCAGGAGTGGAGGCCAGTGCTGTCCGTAAAAACTCTCTCAATAGGAGATTTTCTTATCTTACAAAGTTGGCCACGACAACAGATGTCTCCATCCCCTCGGGGTCCATTTCTGTTCCTCTTCTGACTTAATAACCAATCTGTCTTGTGTTTTCCTAAGGGAAACATGGGTTATCTGCTGATGGTTCTCTGAGTTCTATAACATGTTTATGCAGCTACCCCCTCCCTAAGGCCAGACTCTATTTTAGTGGTATGGGCCAAATAAAAGACTAACTTCTGTCCGTAAACCCAAGCCATTCCTAGCTCACCTGGCAGAGACAGGGAGAAGCCTCCTGCCAACCACGGAAGACTTCTATGGCACCAATAGTATTGTACTATGTGGCACACCTGCAGAATGAGGGGTCTGACAGCCACCTTCCCCATTCCCCCCACCTTTCCTTTTCTAAGCTATCCTGGAGTATGCTCACAAGCCTTTACTTGCCATCAAGACTACAAGGACTCCTTGCTGGAGAGCCCTGGGAGGCTGAAGCAGCAGCAAGGCACAGGAATACCCTTGCCTGGAATGTGGCTCTGCAGCACCGGGCGCTCCCGAGCAGCCTCGTCACCGGTTTGCTTCAGTTTGTGTCTGCGGCATCCTTGTAAGAAGAGGAGCTCTGGCATGGGAGCTATTAGAGTGGGTGGCAGCAGATGGTGAAAGCAGAGGGGATAAGAAAATAAATACAAAGAGGCTATCTTGAGGGGAGAAGTCACCACATCAACACTCTGTTGCATACACAGGCTCTTTTCTCAAAGCCTAAACAAACACTGCTCTGTTCCCAGTACACAAGGAAATGGCTCTGCCAAGTGCTGGGGACAGGCACCTGGGCACACACAGCCTGAGAGGTGGTGCAGCCCTCCATACCCCAACCCAGTGTTTTGGGGGGACCTGTCTCATACAGAGCAAGGAAAGTGAGGCCAAGAAGGGGGGCTACGTGTCCTGGTGATCCATAATTTAGACACCTGTTGTGTGTGTGTGTGCAATACCATCACGTCTGTCCTTTCCACAGACACCAAGGTAGGACTGTGTGGTGCTAATGGATGCTCTCATCTGATACCTTCAGAAAAGCAAAGGAACGATATTCTTGATGGAAATGGGGAGAGCCAGCTCTGGATCTACAGGGACGGCCAAGTGCTCTCTCAGGAAAACCAATACACCCTGAATCACACAGCAGCATAGCTGCTGATTTGAAGCAAAGTGATCCCTCTCACAGATCTCATGTAACCCATCAATTGCTGTCTATCACCCCAGGCCATTTGATCAACCCCTAAGTCTGGAGCCTGCAGCAGGACCATTTCTGCTTCTTTGGCCACCAGCAGCATGGGGAAAAGTCTTTCCCTCTAATGTTCTTCCTGACAGCAGCCCTGATGGCCCTTCTATTCCAAGGAATGAAAGGCTTGCAGTAAACAGGTCCAGCTATAGGTGGGAAAGACTGGCTCACGAGGCTGCCCCATACACATACACTGAGGACAACTCATTACCAGCCAAGAGCCCCCAAAACCCGTAGCCCTTGTTAAAACTTCCCACCTGGGTCCAGAGGAGTGCTCCATGAGGGGGAATCAGAGGTGAAAGCAGTCTTTAGACATGCAATGTCTGGCTCAGACAAAGGCAATTTATTATGTTAAACATGTTATTAAAGGATCTAAAGCAGCAGAGTAGAGATATTCCAACAAAGGTTTTAACTCCTCCAGCAAGGGGCTCCTGGGAGTCCTCTTGTTAATACTTTGCATGGGGTTGTCTGCAACCAAGCCTATGGTGAACATAAATGCCCCCCTCAGTCCCCTTTCAGAACTCATTTCAGTTAAATCAATACAGCTATTGGGGAGACTTGAGGAAGCAAAGCTATTAGCAGAACTGCAGTTAATTCTGGGGGAAAGAAACAAGCAACAAAAGCAATAAAACTGATGGGTGGCTTATGCAGACACAGTAACCCTTTCCTGCTTGGGTCCTAGCAGCCCATCAGCGGTGAGGTGCTCACTGGAAAAGCCCTCCTTCCCATATTTTGCATGGTTTCTGATTGGGATCAAAATGCTCCTAGACTTTGGAAGGGCAGAGGGCCATAGCACAGAGGTGAACATGGGCCTGGGAAGAGACATCAAGAGGAATGGTGGGGCAATTCCAGGCTAGCACTGTATCACCGGAGCCCCCATCAGCATGCAAGAGGTCAGGAAAGCTCGTTCCCAACTTCCCTTGGCAGCAGGACCTTCCAGAACAGTGGAGCATGCAGTGACTGCAGCTTTGGGTGGGAATCATGGTCCAGCAGCACACCTTTGCAGCTGAGCAGGATTGGGACATCAGGGTAGGGACATCACACCAGGAGCCCCCATGGCACACGGCTGCCAGCACCTGAGAGGGGTCATCATCTCTGCCACAGCAACACCCCTTGACAACAGCACACCAAGAAACCACTCAGCTCATGTCTCCTTCATCTCACTAAGAAAGCTCATGTCTGTCTTCCCCACACATCTCCCAGTTGCTTCTGCCCCCTTACATCCCACTACATGTATGCCATAAGCATTGGGAAGGGAGGGGACTACTGTGATTTTGCTTTCTAAAGCACCTTAAACAACTGTAGGTGATTGGAGACAAAGTCAGCAGCAGAAGCTCTGATAGGAGCAGTATTAAAAGCAGCTCAGGGGACAACAAGGCCTGGCTGACTGCCTGGTGTCCAGACCAGCACACACAGAAGAGCTTGCCAGGTGACAGCTACATGGGAAATAACGGAGAAGATGTCAAGACAGAAGCTCTGCAGCAAAGCCCACTGACTAACAACCAACAGCACGAGTTGAAGGTCCTGCAAACTGGTAGTTTCGTCATTTCTGAAGTGGTAATGCCTATGAAAGCAGAAATAAGTTTAATTATATTTGCTCCATCTACAGGCCTATCAATGTAATGTCATAGAAGACCACAGCAGTCAGACTTGTACCTCTCATCTCATAAACCATCAAACAAGGTAGTGCAGACTCAAAATAGGGAAACTGGCAACAGACTGACTCTGGCACTGAACCAACCTCCCCTGACCGCAGCAGCTTTCATAAGAAGTCTTCTGTGCAAGCTCTCATTTCTAAAGCTACACAGCTGTGGAAAACATCATCTGTCCATCCCAACTGACCTCCGAGCCCGGGTCTGAGGCGGTTGTCGTATCCATCCAACAGCCTGTCCAGGATGCGGGTGAAAATGGTGATGTTGTCTTTGCTGTCATCGACGACGTCTGAAACATGTTTCTGAGAAAGCCTGCCATATAAAGGGGGGAAAAAAGGAGATAAAAACATCATCAGAAGAGAAACCTACTCTTTCCATGCTCTGAGCAGTTACTGGAAACGAAGGGATGTCAGCTCATGCTCCAGCCTGTGCTGCAGTGGGGCGTGCATGTTCATAAGGCAATGAAACCAAATGAATTCTCATGTTCCTAACTCTGCTCAATGCAAGAAGCCAGGAATCCTCCAAGGAAAATTATTTCCTCGGGGCATTTGCTGCCCCAGGTGGACTGAAATAAGTAGTAAATTTCTCAAGAAAAGCTGATCTTCCTAAGCAAAATCCTCAGTGCAGTTTTGCAAGCCCAAGGGGCGCAAATAATACATTTGATTTGATATTTGCAAATAATTTGCATTTTGCATCTCCCTTTCAATCAACAGAGAAGGAGCCTGAGAATGCTTCCGAAACTGGCTTTCCTCAGAAAGAAATTTCAGACTACACAGAGTACCAGTGCTGTGGCTCTAAGCACAGCTTTCCCCAGCAGAAATAGCTGTTAGGACCAAAACAAATGGAAAAACAGGAGATTAAGTGAAAGAAAAACAAAAGAAAAATCTATAGAGATGCGGAGATTGCAAGGAAGATGGAAGAGGAAATAAAAAAGACACCAATAAGGCCAAAGAGAGATTAAGAGGCACAAACAGGCAGCAGGATGGCTAAGGAAGCCCAGCCAGGCAAGGCAGGAAAGGCTGACAGAGCAAAGGGATCCTCAGCAATGGCACCAGGTAGCCCGACTGACAAATAAGCCCTGTGCCACTAAACAGATGTGTGATGAGGGAGCACTGCCCATATGAAGACCACAGACACAGCAAACTAAAGACACTCTGGTGGTGCGAGATGTAGATGCAATTGCCAGGGAAGGCACCTACGATGCACTGAAGGAACAGTCCCCACAGCTGGGGCAAGAGAAGCCCATAAATTGTTGGTTTCTAACACTTCTACCCCTTACCTTCTCTTGCCCCTTTCTCTTGCTCCAGTTGATGTGTGCAGCCACTGGTTTAAACATGCCCAGAAAGTAATTGATGGGGCAAAAAGAACCAACCCAAAGCAAAAAATCCCCACAAAAAAAAACCAAACAAACAAAACCAAACAGAAAGAGGAATATCATTTATAGAGTTTAAAGCTTAATCCTGCTGCATCCTATCTGGTTAGACTCATCGCCCATGACACTATGGATCTATTTGTAAATACCCTGTGAAGGGTCAGTAGCATGACAAGTAGCAGAGCTGGCTTGGAGTTCTCTATCAGAATGTTCTCACAGCAGAAACCCCACTTGTCTAAGATAAATTAGAGCAAAAAGTGTTTTCTAGCAAAAGAGGAAAAATCGAGAGCAGGGTATGAGTATTTTTAGAGCCAGGCAGAATCAATACTATACAGCATGTGGCAGCTAATTGAAATATTCCATTTTGGGCAATTTTGACATTAATTTGCGTTGGCATCAATAACCAAACACTCTGGGAAATTGCATTTCAAGTGCTTGAGGTTTCCTTCTCCAGGGATTGGATCCCATCTCTCACAAGGCTCCTTAGCCTGTGGTTTTAGCAAACCAATACCTGGTAGCATGGGAGAAGAGGTCAAGCCGGTAAGTTTGGCTTTATAAGAGCCTAAGAGGGTAATAAAGTGCCTAAACTGCAGTTCCCATAGGGGATGGGGAGTGAGGTATGGTAGGGAAAACACCCGTTGCAACCCTAATGCTACCTGTCAGATCAAAACCATCAAACCACCATTAATATTACAAACTGCATCACAGCCTTCAAGCCTTTGCATTCCAATCAAAACACTGGTTTTGGTTTTCATCTGGACTTGAAATATTTGAAAGAGCTGAACTCCCTGCAGAAAAGTAGAATTTTGAAGAATTTAACAAATGCCTGCTGTAATTAGTGACTTTCAATTGTAACAGCTTTCAATAGATGTCATGCTTAAAAGCAATCTGTACCGGTGTCTGCTGATGGGTATATAACCATCTATAACTTATGAATAGCTACTGTGCTCATGAAAGCTCATTCATTAATGTTTTATAAGCTATCTTTAAAAATCACCCGCAATATAAAGAGCGGGAGGACAGATTTTTGTGAAGGAATTCCTGGCGGAGGCTCAGCGGTGATGGGAAAAATGAGTTTACAAATTTCAAAGCCGTTTTACTTAGCCTGACATTTGAGGTTTCAACTTCAGTGTGAGCAGCATGGGATTCACTGAGCAGGAAAGAGCAGCAAGGGCAGGGTGAGGTAAGGGTGCAGGCAGCACCTCTGACTGGCACTGATTGCAGCCAATTCCCCAGTCCAACCAAGCTCTGGGCTGGCTCACCTGTAACTGTAACATCAAGCTAAAGCTGCCCTGTAGCAAGGTGTAAAGGAATTCCAAAGACATATGGGGATCATGGTTTTAAGATAATTAAAAGCAGGGAAGGCAGGGAAGGCAGAGGTTTACAGCAAATTTAATTAGGATAGGCTTGAGGAAAAGTCATTCCCTCACCACCCGTCCCTGTGCACAGGCTCTCTGGACACCAGCCCTGTGCACAGGCTCTCTGCACACCAGCTCCAAACAAGGGTCCCCTTGTAGGGAATTTAGGAAGCAAATCTTCCTGTGGACCAGAGCGATACCCATATGGCAGGCAGTGAGGGAGCAGCAGCAGCAGCAGTGACTATGTGATGGGAAGCAAAAGGGCAGCACTGGGGAAGGCAGAGGCATGTCAAGGCATGCTCGGGACACATTTGCTTATGCAGAGTTAGATCCAAGCAGGTGAAGTGGGGTGGGCAGGACAAGGCAGGAGCATGCATGTGAGCAAAAAGCTCCACGCAGAGGGGTGAAGTACAAGTGACAGCAATGACGTTATTTCGTGCATAGAAATCCCTGGCTGCTGCTGGACTTGTAACTCAGCAGCAGCACCTCAACGTCCATACCTGGTGCTCTAAAGGCTTTCCTAAGTTTTTCATAGGAGTCATGTGTTATTTGCATTTCTCTCCCTCTGTGCAAAGCTCATCCCTCCCTGTGGCTGCGTTGGTGGTGTCTTTGCTTCCCTTCCTTGAAGGGCTCTCTGAGCTCCCCAAGGCTCCAGTGGGATGCAGAGGAGAGCTGAAGAACCTGTCAAAGGCTAACAGGCTTTTGTCTTCTCCTGACAGCTCCCAGAGGCTGGCAGCAGTATTCCCTGCACCGGGATAGCCTCGACATGGTGCAGAGTGCCCAGCCAGGGCTGGCCAGAGTCCTGCCCTATGCTGCAGCACATCAAGTGTATGGCTCACAGGTCCTTATACCACAAAAAGCCCAACAACTGAAGTGGTTTCATTTTCTTTTCTTTAAAACTATTCAGAAATTAAAGGGAGAAGGGGGGGGGGGAATCTCCCTTCCAAGTCCTTGCCCAGAGTGAATTGTGAAGAGGACAAATCTGAAAACTGGTTTTGCTGCAAAAAATGCTGACAACTGTCCTTAGTGAGAGGACCTCAAATAATGCTAATGTAATCAGTCAGCTCAGCCATGACGGACTGTACAGTCCCTGGGGTGAAAGATATGGGGATGGGGACAAGTGGTGGAGGGTCAAACACAGCAGAGACACTTCTTAGCACTTTCCCCTGGACTACTTCACATAGGTACTGGACCTGGGATATTTAAGCATAGCAAGAGGACTCAGCTTTGCCCAACAGCCTCAGTGTTCACCACCTTACCCAGCATCAGCAGGGAGAGCCAAAACCAGGACTAGGACTCCAAGGCTAACAAAGGAGAGTGAGCCCGTTCCCAGGAGCTTCAGCACCATGGTATCAGCACGCAGTGACCGTCACACAAGCCTCCAAGACCTGCCAGGGTGGGCACAGAGGGGAAGGAGAGAAGAGAAAATAGGTTTTATTTATTAGGAGAAAAGCAATCTGCTCAGTTGACTTTTGCCCAGCAGCTTACCCGTGTTAACCAGCAGTCTGTATTGCTGGGGTGCTGTATATGAAATCCCAGAGACCCCACTAGGACTGAAGGCAGCAGCATCCGCTGCAATGCTGCTGGCCCTGGGGAAGTCCGAGCATGGGGTCAGAGCCACGCATGTATGTACACATACAAACCGTCATCCCATTTTCATCACGATCCAGCAGCTTCCCAGCTGCTTCAGCAAGCGCAGAGCTCCGCTTCTAAAACGACAGCACTGTTGGTTCTTCCACCCATCGCTTCCTTCTCAACACATATCCTCAGTCACTGCCCTCACCTCGCAGCAGTTCCCAGCTCCCTGCTACCTGCGCTGCCTTGGGGACACCCGCACAGCAGAACCACTTGCAAAGCCTCAAGACCCATTTTTTCCCAAAACATCTTTTTCTGAACAGTTAGGCCCTCATTTAATTCTGGTAATGGCACTGCCAGAAATTATTATTAAGTTTGGGCACTGAGGCCCAAGGTAGTGGGAGTGCTCGGCTGTGCTGCACTTAGTGTGTTCAGATTTTTCATTAATGCTCAGTTTTACTTTTATTGTGATGTTACTGCACATTTAACTGCCTTCCCCTTTTATGTATCTCATTATGTTGATGCACCTTGGAACAGCACTGCCAAGCAACAGCCTGTATAAATACAGCTTGTCATGACGTCTCCCCAGCACAACACCATGTCTGGCACACAGGAGATTTAGCACAGCAGCAGCTCAGCACCTTGGTAGCCAGGCACCAATGGCCAGTGTGAGGCTCCAAAGCCATAAATGAAGGCTCACTTTGATTACAGCCTGCAGAAAGGCCATGATGTTGTTGCCAGCCAAAGCTGACTTCTGGATTTCCCTACTCAATAGGCACCAATATTGCAGAGCCTCAGGCAGCAACTTCCAGCATGAAGGAAGGAGATGCTGGGTTGAAAGCCAAACCCCATCACGTGAAAGGCATTTCCTAGAGGGTGCTCAGGATGAAGAGGGCAGCTGAGCTCCCAGTGCAAGTGCTCTCAGTGAGCAGGGGCTTCTTCACATAGACTTGGAGGCAGGAACCTGCAGCATAAATCCCATGCAGATTGCTGGGAGCTCAGCCCCAAGCAGGACTCTGCATCTAGCTAACCCTGGTCACCCACATCATTTTGGCCCTACGGTCTTCTGGATGCTGTGTCTGATCCTTGTTTTTTAGCTCAGTACAGCTCTAATAGGACATAAGCTCCCACAAAAGCAGCAGGAAAGAGCCAGATAGAAATAGCCACTACAAGTCCTTATCTATCCACCTCAGCTTTTGTTCTGGCAATATGCTCACTTATGGCAAGCACAGAAGGAAAAAGTAACATTGCCTTGCATAAAGCACATTTATACTTCAGATGCATTACCTTTATCTTCCTCCCCATTACTGAAAATCCTTGCAACTATCAGTGCATGGATTAATTTTGTGCATGAGATCATTTGTAGGTGTTCTCAGGCCTTATTTAATCAGGATGCTATCTAGGGAAGCGCAGCCTTCACACCAAAGGAGAACACACTTACCAGAGGCTGCAGGAGCCTTCTGGCATAGACTCACCTACACCTCTGGTGAGACAAGCCCTGATTTGGGATGGCTCCTCTGGTTCCTGCCACTCTCCAGCTGAGAAGGGACACACAGTCTTGGAAATTCATGTATTTGCTGATGAAGCACAAATTAAGAGGCTGAACATCTGTTCTGTGGGAAATTCCAACAGTTTGGGGAGACTCATTCCAAATCACAACAAGGACAGCTAAAATGTTGATGTTTTCTACAAGGCAAATTCAAACCTCCTTCAATTAGAAGCTCCTCAACAGATTTCCTTTCAACATTTCCCTTTCATTTCACTTATACTTGCAAATTATACAATAGGATTTGATTTTTTTTTATTAAGGCAATTTCAAACATGAGCCAAAAGCCAAAATCCCACCATTGCTGTTTCCCTCTCCCCTGCCCACACCACCACTGAAAAACCTCACTGAAATCAACACTTTCCCATTCAATTGCTGAATTCAATAAATAGTTTGTTTTGGCAGAATTTGCCCTGCCAGCAGCTTTTGAACAGAGATACCCACACAAATAAGAACCCTTTGGGTTTGCAGCGGGTGCCTCCTGGCTCTGCAGGAACCCTTCTGACTCCTCTAGAACGTGTTGGAGCATCTTTATTAGATTTGGTGAGACAAGGGACTGGGGAGATTACACACCAAAGGGGCACAGAGGAGCTGAAGAAAAGAGGACCAGAAAAAGGAACAGCAAGGTAATTCAGAAAGAGATAGGGTCAGGAACAGCAACAAAGGCCAGAAGCACACTTTCCATGTAAGCGTTTGTAAGATAGGCCTGTCTGTGCCAAGAAGCTCTAAACAACCACATTCTTGCCAAACCCTTTTTTAATTCCTTCAATATTATATGGAGATGAAGAGCTAATTTTCTACTTGGATAGTTCTATTGAGGAAGGTGCTAGCCAAGGAAAACAGGGCTGGTTGAATAAAGTTAAATACATGCTTAAGTCTCATTTCAAGCATCAGAACCAGTTCTGTACACCTGCACTGGGAGGAAACATCTCGTTTCACTACTTGCCCAAGTGATTACTTTGCCAGCAATGGCTCAGTTTACTGGTGCACAGAATGCCCCCCAAATGGGGTGTGAGAGTACATGCATGGCTGGTTTGCTATGGCTGCATTTAGGGACTCAGGAAGGACAATACAGCATGGAAAATAACTTGGCACTGTTTCCTACCATTTTCCTTTGGTTCTTGTATTTTTCCCAGGGAGCTGGATACAAGAGAATGCACAGCATTTTCTGTGGGTTTTGCCTCCTTTGATTTGAGAAGCAGACCTGGTCCTGAGGACTGTGATTGACATTCCTGATTAACACAGGGGCTTAAACTGTTGGTGATGAACCCAGGTAGCCTTGTGACATTGAACCAGGGCTGGCTAGAGAGTGCTGGGGCAGCACCAGAAGGAACAACCCCTTTCCAGCACTGATGCTCATTACCCTATTGCCAGGCAGAAAGCATTTCTCAGAAGGATGTAAGGAAGCTTTTGTAAAGGAAGTGGCTTCACCTTTCATATGGTTCAAGGGATCTTCCAAAGCTCCCCATAGCCAGAGCCTAGCGTCATCCCCATAACACAACAGCTCTCAGCATCACCTCTCCCCTTTCCTGGGGCTTTTGCTCATCCAGGCCAAGCACCAGCCACAGGACATGCAGAATATCAGCCAGAGCAAGGGCTTTACAAGCCTAATAGCTACTGGCCTCACAGCCTCTCTAACAAAAAGGTTTCTGGGCTGCCAGGTTTGTAAAACCAGTCCTGGTTTCAACAGCCCAGTAATGGAGCTCCTTAGATTGCAGCACAAGAGTCACCCTTGCAGAGGTCTGTCTGCCCCACAGCAGTTACTGCAGGGAGAAAGGAGCCCCTTGATGTGCAACACCATCTTGAGCAAAGGAAAGGAATGGAAACACCCAGGGAAAGGAAAACTGGGGCTACTCCGGCCTGAACTACGAACTGGTGCTGCCCTCGCAGAAAGTGCTTTCTATGCTATTCAGCTGCCACCACTCAGGAAGGCACTGAAACAGACAATGTCTTGATCTGAATACTTCCAGGGATCCCTGATCCTCTTGGAAGGGGAGGGAGGATGCAGGCAACATGCATGTAACTGCATGTAAATGAGTGAGGGTTTAGGAATGTTAGTTGGATGGCAATAGTCTCTAAGAAAAAAAAAAAATCCAAGATTTCTTACTAGGTCTTGCGGAAAGGAAGCAACCACAGTATCCGTTAAGAAAAAAAAGCAGAATACAAAGATTTATATGCTCAGAAAACAGTGATACAACTCAGACTGACCCCTCTTTCACATAAGGTAAAGAAAATCACTCTTCTAGCTTCTGGTGCCCATCTATGCCTATGCAAGATGGAGCCTATAGGGATTGTACATGTTCAAAAGAGCTCTGCACTTCCTTCCTCCATCTGTCCATTGCTCATTTCTTAATGGCACAGTTAGTGAATGCATTCATCACTAATTCTGCAGTTGCTGGTAACCTCCACAGCTGAATCCAATGCAGATTTTCTAAGGAGCCCAGCTAACACTTTGCAGCTGGAATACAGTGATACTTGAGGTTTACAATTCTGTGCACTCTGGATTTGGCAGGTGTCTTTATAACCACATACTAAAGGCATCATAAAAATACCCACTCCTCTCCAGCGCATTCAGTCTGTCCAATCTCCGGAGCATCATAGCATAACAACACTCTCCAGAAATACAGCCTTCCTGTTGTATTTGCAGTTTTGGAACAAGGACTTGGAAAACCTTTATTGTCCTCAAGACATTAACATGCTCCAACCCCTGTTCCTACTGAGGTGGGTTTGGGAACCAAGAAAGAGATGACACCTTCCAGGTCAGCCTGGTACCCAAAGTTAACAGTTACTAGGGTACCTCCTGACTTGTCATAATGAGCTTGATATGTTCATAAAACCTTATTCTATAAGGATTAAGTATTCTGAAATGCCTTCTTAGGAATGAGTGATTAACACAAGCTTCTTCTGACAAGGGAAAGACAGATAGCGCTCTGGAGGTGGAGAAAAGTAAAGTTTGCAATAAAGCCTGGGAGAACAGCAAGCATCAGAGAGGGAATGAAGAAAGAAAAGACACATAAACCCACCCGTGTTCACTTGTGAGAGCCACATCAGTACCTCTCTCTAATTATTGCCTCCTTGGAACATGCACAGCCAAGGGAACAACCTGATTCACTTAGCAGTAGTGTAATAATGCAGGCAGCATTCATGAAACAGCCCAAAGGACATTTTTACCCCATCGCTGCACCCAGAGATGCTGTGTACCTGCAGTGTCAGTTGGTCAGCATGCCCACACACCATGAACCAACACCAGTGGCATCAGCTGAAGGAGTGCTGAGCTCTCGGAGCTCTCACTCAGCCCCCAGCCCCTGCAGCTGCTCCAGTTCTTTGCCAAGCGAGGTATCTCAGAGAGGGCTGTGCAATGAGGAGCTGATGCTGGGAAGCAGCTGGAAAACAAACTGGAAATTAGAGGCAGCCTCAGTGCAAGAGCCCAGCTACAAGCACTTCCATGCAGGGATAAGAGGGTGATCTTGACCCTGTGGATGACAAGCACATCCATCCACCTGCACAGGAACACATCTGAGCACAGCACTGTAGGTGACCTCACAACACCTGCATATTTACTCTCAAAGTCAGGCGCACTTGCACAGCACAAGAAGCTCCTTAAAGCCCTTCCTCATTGCACTACAGCCTCTGTAAAACAGGTCCCAGGCATTAGGAGAGGTCCTCTGACACCTTTCAGGGATTCCAAAATCATCCAGACTGCACAGACTGTGCTCTGCCCAGCCATCACCAGTCCTCCATGAGCACACCAGCCTTGTGGTGATCACAGCTATGCCTCTTGTAGCACGTCTTTGGGTAAAGCTCCAAGCTCTCTCTGCAGATACAGGCAGCCAGCAAGCCCTCAGTGCAGCAGCAGTAAATGCAGGCAATGTGCATGCTACCCTGTGTCTCCGTTGAGGAGGTTTTGCTTTGGTTCTCAACTTCTTCAGCTTAAAGAAGGGTCTCTTAGAATAAAACTCTTTTTATTAGAGGGCAGGGGTGACAATGGGCAGCCAAGATCCACCTGGGAGCCTGAAAATAATGGCGTAAGTTACAATGGTATTTCACAAGACCCTTGTCCTACTGGTTGTTTGCATCCTTTTGTTCTGAAATGAGCTAAATGGGGTACAGGCATACACTGCACAACACAGGCAGAGACACCCAAGTCAGTGTCTCCTGGAAGCAGTCCAGCCGTGCCAGCATCACACTCCACCTGCACTAGTCAGCACAGGGGATGCTTAGTTTGTTAGCCTGGACCAAGGCAAGTGTTCTGCTTCCATCATCTGATGTAGCCTAAATTTCTCTGACTTGCCTCTCAGTTTAGCACTGCTTTATGCCATACAGATGCTGCTGAAAGCCAGAAGATACTACAGTGTTTTGCACGAACAAGAGACAGGCAGCAATTCCTCCACCTACCTGAATCAAACTTGCTGTTTACAATCTACTTAGAGAAATAGCCCTGGCTCACGGCAAGAGGCATATGGCAAGGGAACCACATAGTCTTCAACTCACAAGCTTGAAAATGTTTGTGCTTACCTACCCGAGGGCACACACTAGCTTGTCCCCATAAACACACACTGCACAAGCCATAAACAACCTTCCCATGAACGTGTCACACACAAGGTATGAGGCACACATGATGGTTACCAAATGCATTGTCTGCAGCTCTGCAAGAGATGCCAGCAGAAGAGGACACCCAGGACCAGCGGCACAAGTTAAAGGAATTAAAGGTTCAGATCAACATGGAAACCTTGGGAACAAGCCTTAAAGCAGATCTCTTCAGTAGAAAGCTGGTAACAGAGGAACAATCTCTGCCCAGCTCCCAACTCAGCTTTAGTTTTTCAAAACGAGAAGCTGCTTGACAGTTTTTCCTCATCAAAACAAAATTAATCCCAGTGTTGCATCTCTCTACTCAAAAAACACATCCAGAGGGATTGTAGAGTGATTCACACCCACAACTGCTATGGGAAACCATTTGCACTCAAAGTGTAACAAGCCAACACTGATTCACCCACGTAATTACAGGCAGACACTGATTCACAGCTACTGCAACTGCAGACAGACTGACTCACAATCAAAGCAACTGCAGACAGACTCAGGCTCACAAGCACAACTGGAAATACAACCGTGCTGACAGTACCCACAGTCTGCGATCAATCACAATCATCTTTGGAAAACTAGCTAGCACGCTAACCAGGCCAGACACGGCTAGCCAAGCTCTGTGCCTTCTGCTGGTGCTCTTGACCTTCACCTCACAGCCATCTTTCCTTCACTGATGGAACAATATCCACACCTCAGCAACTGTGCCTTCCCTGACAGCGCTGACACTTGCCAAGCATGACTGTCAAAGCCTGAATGCAGGAGCAGAGCTGTATGATGCATATTCAGGCACAGAATGCATACAGGCACAGTAAGTGTACAAAGTGCAAGACATCAATATACATCCCCTTTGATACCATATATCTGTGCACTGACTTAGTGTTTCCAGAATATAAGTAAATACAAGCCAAGTATAATACATTTAGCCCATGGGCAAAAGAGATGTCAAAAGACTCACCACTGGGCAAAAGCTTGAAAGGCAGTATTATTTACTACTCTCTGGCTGGGTATGTAATGATGTCAGTGTTCAGTCTGAGTATTGTGCTACTTTTTGTAAACAGTTGGCAGGAATACTCCTACTGAGATGAGGGGCTGGGCTGCTTCTCCAGTGCTGAGAGGAGCAGGCTGAAGAGGACACGGTCTACTTAGGGAGAAAGAAACTGAGGTGAAAGAATGGATTAAGCAGGAAAAGATGAAGTAGAAGCTGAAGAGTGAAGTGGGAAGGTGACAATCTACAGACAAAGAAGAAAGAGGAAACAAGAAAGAATAGAAGGAGGAAAGCTGTATGATGCACACCTGCAAAGAGAAGCTCCAGAAGCAAGGAAAAGCAGTAGCCTCCCAGTGCTAAACACATCTCGCAGCAGTGCGGACAATACATCTGTGTATCCCCATGCACTGAGCTCTGCTGTGCTCTGCAAACCAGCAGGAGATTCCAGAGGAAAGGATGCAGCCTTCAGCCAAGCATGTGCCAAGGAGGTCATGGTGCAGCCACAACCCTGCCAGCTGCCCAAAGCTCTCTTGGAAAAGAGCAGGAGCATCGGCTCATGCACTCCTCCATCTGTGCATGCATGCGAGCGCACTGCAGGGCACCCTGCCACCACAGGCACAGGCTGAAGGGCAGGCTGGCAAACACAACAGCATCACCACCTCAAAACAGCCCAAAATCCTTTATCCTCCAGGGTAAAGAGAAAGTTAACACACTACAGAAAGGAGAGGACTTGCCTGAACCACACGTAGCATCTTCTAGTTGTAGGCTGGACCTGTCTTGCCACCTGTTATTTATCTTCTTCACACTCCCCACAAGGAAACTAAGAGGACCACAGATGAGGGAACAAATCTGCTGCTGCTTTCAGAACAACTCAGGTGAGCTTGCTCTTGCTGGGTCTGTGTGGCTGTTCAGAGCCTTACCAGAGGGTCCCAGCTCTCCCTTTCTGCCTGAGGACGCCGCTGTGTTTGCAGCCAGACAGCAGCAGATACAGAGGATAGACTATGGATGCAATTGGCTAGGGAAATGAACTATTTGTTCAATTATACTTCTCTTGTCCAGATGAGAATTGTTCTGGCAGAAGGCAGTGCGAGGAACAATGGATTAAATGTTGCAGCGTGGACTCTCTAATGCTTAATTTTATATTATGCTACTCCTCAGTCCTAGTAAGTCTGGGGGGAGGAGGAAAGATCTGGAGCCTTATTCCCTCTCCAGCCCCCCTGACACAGCATCAGTGCCCATTAGGCCTGGCTGCAGGATTCAGGGGGAAACTTGACTTGACTTTACTATACCGCTCTCTCCACTCAGCCCTTTCCCTGCATTCACTGTCCGGCTCTAGTATTATCCTCATACAGACATTTTCTATCACAGCCGCTTACACCTATCCCCATTCTCCAGCCGGCAGTACCAGGCAGGTGGGCTGCAGCCCTGAGAGTCCCCAGCGCACGGGGACCCCTGCCCGGCTCGGGCGGCCGCTTTGCTTCGGAGCGGCACGGTCAGGAGTTACTGCGGGAGCAGAGATGCTCCGACCCTCCCGAACCCCCATCCCTGGGGGATGCGAGCAGGGACGAGCCGCTGCTCCCCGCACTGATCACCGGCCCTTTGACAATAACCGGCGGGCAGCGCAGCGCCCGGGAGCCCCATCCCCGGCCGGGTGGTCCTCGCTGCCCCCCGCTCCCCATTACCCCCGGGCAGGGCGGGTACCCTCCTCTCGGTGCAGCCGCCCAGGCGGCGCGGGGAGACTCCGGGGACGCCAGGACGCGAACCGCCGCCCCGCCCGCACTCACCGCCGCCTCGGCTGCCCCAGCGGGGCCCGGCCGGAGCCCGCTGCGCTCCTCGGGGCTGGGTGCCCCGAGCCGCCGTGCGGGGCTGCCGCTGCCTGCGCTCCTGCGGCCGCGGCGAGGGAGGGAGAGAGCGAGAGCGCGATGGAGGGAGGGAAGCAGCATCCCCCCGCCTTCCTCCTCCTCCCCGCGCGCCGGAGGAGGGTTTACCCACCCGCTTTGTGCGGAGCTGCCCTCCCCGCAGAGCGGCTCGCTGCCGCCCTCCCCTCCCCAGGTTGGGGCCACCACCCCAAGCGATGCCCCGCGGCTCTTCGCCAAACCCCCGGCCACGCAGCATCCTTTCCGCGCCGGAGGATGAGCACGGCTGGCTGCTCCCAGCGCCTACCTGTTGAAAGGGGGTGGAGGGGGAGCTCTCACGGCGCTGGTGCTCTGAAGGGAGATGCCAAGCAGCCCGAGGGGTACCCTATACCCCAACTCCTGCCAACCTCCTTGCTGCAAAGCCTGGCCAAATCCCAGATCTGCCAGCGGGGCAGGGAAGTTTGGCCTGCAACTTGGAATTGCCAAGATTTATATCACAATAAAATGGCACACAGAGGAAAATAAATGCAGAGAAGGGGGGGGGAAGTGGAAGGAAGAGAGGTTAAAACGCAGCAAGGAGTAGGCAGTGAACACAAGGACAGATTCAGCGTGGCAGCGTAGGGATCCCAAGGAAGCGTGATGCAAGATGCACTGGACAGAGCTGGCTGGGCTTTGGGTGCTTTGCAGAGCCACACACCAGTGAAGCTGGGAAGGCGAAAGCTGACAGTGAGGCGCACTCAAAATATATTGTCCCTGCAGAGCTCTCCCTATTACACACGCACTGCAAGACTCAGCCGCAGCTCTGACTCCAAGGTACATAACCATTCCTCCATCCCTGAGGATGCGGGAGGACATAAAAGATCATAACTGCAGGCATTATTGACCACCCCCAAATCCCTTCAAAATACTTTTGTTCCTGCATACTTACCATAACATGCTAACATACTTCAGGGCAAATGTCCTCAAGACATGAGTGGTTAAATTCAGTTTAACTATAAGTTCTCTGCACTTTGATATCAGAAAATGATCCAGTTCTTGTTTCCAGGAGGAAGTTTAGGGTAATCGCTGTTCTACCTTATTCGTACAGACCACAGCTCATCCCAGTTTTGGTGAGATAGAAGTATTCACCATGACTTGCTTCTGGACAATAGGAAGAGAACTTAAGCTCTCTTCCAGAGCCAAATTTCAGCTCCATATGATCCAAGCATGGTCTCTAATACAGGCATCAAGACTTGTATCTGTTCAAATGCCAGTAGAGTTCTTCTTTCCTCTGCTGGACAGGGGTCATAGGCAAGACCTCACATGATCTGAAGGCCAATGTCTTGAGCAATACTTGAGCTTTGTCCAACACAGTGCCCCCTCTCTCAAACCTGATATCTCTTAGACCAGAGGAGGAAGACCCCTTAGTGTTACTGCAAGACTTGGCTCTCTTACAGGAACTTTGTGACTACCACAAACCATGAATAATCAAAGTAAGTCCCTCTAGCCCACAAGACCACATCCAAGCCTACTTGATGGAGATTAAGTACTCACAGGATAGTTTTAAATCATCAGCTGAGTCTTCAAGTTACTACTTTCTGATCTCCAAAAGCTATTTTTGTTTGTACTGCAGGGACCTTACTTCTGAGCTCCCACATGGATAGCTAGAATTTTAGTTGCCCTTAGACTGCTCGTACATGAATAACAGCAACCAGTACATGGTGTCGGGCTGTTCCTGCTTTAAGAAGTATAAATTCTTTCTGCTGTAATCAAAAGCATCACACGAGACAATGGGGGGGGGGGGGGGGGGAGGGTGCCAGCAGAGGAGGGCTTTTGCTGGTCTCCACAACTGGGGAAAATCATAGTATCTTTGGAAAATTCACATTGAAAGACATTTCAGGACATCATCGAGTCCAAACTCCTGCACAAAGCATGGTCAGCTAAGAAAAAGTGCCATGAGCAACACATGTTGGCCATGGTGAGACACTGGCACAAACTGCCCAGAGACACTGTGGATGTCCCATGGAAGTGTTCAAGACCAAGCTGGATGGGGCTTGAAACAACGTAGTCTAGTGGAAGGTGTCCCTGCCTGTGGCAGGGGGTTGGAACTAGATGAGCTTTAAGGTTCCTTCCAATAAAACCATGCTGTGATTCTATGATACTCACACTGAATTTCTGCTTACACCTAAGGTTCCTCCAAAGCACATCTTCCATTCCTGATTTACATGCTTGCGAACACAGGAGTGTTGGCAAGGAAATGGGGAAGAGATCAGGGAGTCCCAAGGCACAGCCATTCACTTAACTAAAAGCCCCAAGGATCTGGTCCAACATCTTCTCACTGGAGGCCAATACTCCATTGGAGAATATCACGAAGATGACCATGCCAAGAGGTGGGATGAGATACAGGACCTGGCTAACTGAAGAATATTGGTTGCCTGGAGGCTGAGAGCAGAAGAAGCCCTAATACTTGCTCTTCCTCCTTTCCAAACTGACTCAGCTTTCTGGCACGAACTGCCTTGGATATAAGAGGCATGAAACAGAATCAGAGACACAAGCATATCCGGAGACAGAAATTACTCAGGATTTTTAAATGGTTCATGTCGAAGAACATTCCAACATTTACGGATTTAAGTAGTGCTAACAATAGTCACAGGCAATGGAAACCATGCTTTGCCTGAGGCTTGTTCATCCATGAGCAACAGCGATACAGACTTCCCCAGGAGCATCTCACTCCACTCTGAAATGCCTTCTCAAAAGACTGCCTCCTCCACTCAGAGGTCTCCTCTGACACTGGTAGCAGTCTGAAAGAGGCTTGGGCAGGAGGCCCTTTATTGGAGAAGCTTTCCCAGGAATATACATATCAAATGAAATCCCTTCCCTTTTAGCCACACCACAAGTTCTCCTTACAAAAGTATGGGAAGTGGCCATAATTGGGGTCAGACAGGAAAGCAAGCACAAGGTAAGGAATTAAAAGGATGTAGCCACATGAGTAGTGTGTTGTTAAGAGCAGAGCAAGAGGTGTAGAACCTAAAAGGCACCCTAAATGCAGAGGTCTGTGGACATTTACATTGCAACGCTTCCCACCCCTATAGATGTGCGGATCCACACCATATCAGCTCATACAAATCCTGGGCAGAGCAGGGCACCTGTGCACCATAGCAGGGCCTGCTTCTAGCTACCAAACAGCAACAACCAAGGTCTCCACCAGTCAAATCCTTCCTGGATTATAGAGGCTGCTACACCAGACAGACCCCAAAGCCTTGCATGATCTGTGCTCCTTATGGTTAGGCTGCAGCAGTAAGGGCTGGCTGGCTCATCTCACCAGATAGCCCTGCAGAGATATCAAGGGAGGCAGTGGAAGTCCTCCTTCATCCCAGCCAGTGCCTAAAGCCAGCTGACCCATAAGGGAGGAGAGTACACCTACCATCTGGATAGTGCATGATGACAGAGTTAAAGACACAAGGACTATTCACCAGCAGCACAGGATGGTTTTCAACATGGGATGCTGTCATGGTGGGGAAGCTCTGGCCAGGGAAGAAGGCAGCTCAAGTAGTCCAGCTTTAGACAACCTTTTCTATGGAGGGTAGAGTTATCTATAGCTGGCATTAGCTTGCTGGAGCTGTTTTGGTATCTGCTCTGTCCAGGAGGAAAGGGAACCCTGCAATATGAGCATCAGTCTCTGTGGATACATCCATCAATTCAGGAGGCATAAAAACATCTTGAGAACCTTGTAAGCAATTATCTTTTAATGCATCACTCCAGCATAAGGCTTTTTATTTCTTTGTTAAAACACATAAGCTTTCACCTCCCTTAACCTGCTGGAACACCTGCCTGAACTCTTTCTCACTCCAGGAGCTGATGGCTTTCAGGCAAAACCTTTCTTATGGAGATCAAGGTTAAAATATGGCTGTCATCATATTACAGAGGAGTAATCTCTCAAAATGGAAGTACAGCAGTTTGGGAATATCTCACTAATAATTAGCTAAGTCTTCCCCTCTCATCACCTTACCCAACTAGCCAGAGTAAAAGCAGGCTTAGTATTAGGTCCATGCTACAGTGCCCTTGAACTGAATGGGATTGCAGATTAAAGCTCTGCTAGCAAAGCAGAGCAGGTCCATTCTGAATATGCAAGCTGGAGCAAGAACTTAGGGATGTGCAGAATAGCTCCAGTACAACCACCTCTTTGGAGGCAAGTCCATGCCATTCCCATTCATCCCACCCAGTACCCATACATTTAAAAGAGCTGGCTGTAGTTACATTGCAATGGCTGGGGTGGAGGACCAAGTAAGGGAAGAGGTGACCTTCCCCAGGGCTGAAAGGCAGAAGGGCAGTATGTCAAGGGAGACATGCTCCAGTAACACACTGCTTCACGGGCTGGTGCAGACGTGCTCTGAGGCTGAAGGCACGTAAGCGCAGGGCTTGCAGTTAGAAAGGGTCTGAGTGCTTGTGTGCAGGCACCTGCCTTGGCAGGGAGCAGGTCTAGTTTTCCTTACACATAAGGCAACACTAAGCACAGCAGTGTCCTCTGGAAGCTGGCATCCACATTGCTTTCCCTCTCATGCTGCTGTGGGAAGCAGCAAGCCTACAGTCACTAAGCAGACAGGTGGCTGACACAGGCAGTAGACCAGGACAAAAGACACTTTGATTGCAGAGGATTCCAACCACTTCACTGAAAGCTGCTGGTCCCACTCACCACCAAGGAGCACCATGTTGACACCCTCCTTCCAAAGAGCTGAGAGAAGGGACTCTCTTCTCCCATCATCCCTTCCTTTCTCAAAGCACCCTCAACAGCCCTACAGACCCAAGTCCTGTCCCAGTTTCCTGGTGCTACCCTATTCTCACTCTCCATCCCCACCAGGCCAGCTGCCCCTTCTCCCCATCAGCTCCTTGCAACCGTAGCAGCGTCAGAGCTGGCTGCTGCCTGGTACTTTATTAACCCATCTCCATGGCAACTCGCCTACAGCTCAACTCAGAGACCCCTATCTCGCCTTGGCCATAAATCAGCCACCCACCTGCATCCTGGGTTGGAGATGGGGGTCACCGCTCACGGTGCGTGATGCTGGGAGCCCTGCTGCCACCATCCTATCCTCCCATATACATACAGAGCTGCTG